GGTCCTGAAAGAGAGAGAGAGGGAGAGAGAGAGAGAGAGAGAGAGAGAGAGAGAGAGAGAGAGAGAGAAAGAGAGAAGGGGGGCTTGTAGTGTTATACTCAGTGTGTGCAGTCTCTCGGAATGGATGCGCGCCGCCCGACACACAGTGTAGTGCCAGCCCCGAGCCCGGCAGCCGCGCCCAGCACAGCGCCCTCCACGATGCTCGCCCCGAGGCCTCCCTCTCTCCCGCCAGAGCGGCTCTCTCCAGCACGCCGGCCTCCGAGAAGTTGATATTCGCTAAACCGTCGCCGTCCCTCTCTCTAGCTCTCTCTCTCACTCTTTTCCTCTCTCTTTCCCTTCCTCCTTTCCCACTAACCCCCACCCTCTCTCTCTCTCTCTCTCTCTCTCTCTCTCTCTCTCTCTCCGGCTCTCTACCCCTCTCTCTCACACACTGTGGTAACGTATGAACAAAGTTTGGTGCCGATAGGAACACGCACTGCCTAACACTGCACAGCCATCCCCTGCGCGCGCTGCTAAATCTCTACCGACCGTAACGCCGCCTAGTTTACACAGCGAGAGGAGTCCAGTGCAGCAGACCGGTCTTAAACGGGAGGAAGTTTGCATGTGGTGCGCACTGCGCACATCGGCAGACTATCGTACCCCGGACTGTGTTTGACACATTAAGTGCTGCCTACGGGTCTTACACTGTTCCCTTTCAGTTCTAAAATTATTTTCTTTTAGTTCGAGGGGGTAATAACTCCTTTTTGATGTTTAGACATGATTCTTGAAATCCTTGATACCCAGTAATTCCCGTCCACTATGTTCATTTCTTAGGTTTTCAAGTGGTAGAAAACGCGAATTTCGACTAATTTGTACGAGTTCCACTAGTTTCCCGCTTATTTAAGGCGATTTCTGTTGATTTTGATTAATTTTTATCCTCTTGATTCCCAGGCACGTATACACATAATTCCCGGAGTTATTGCCCCCTCGTTTTAGTCGATGATTAAATAGTATCAGCTGTTAGTACACTGGTAAAACAATTGTGCAATATTTTCATACCAAACGTGTGTAAGTTGTGACTTAGCACATTACATGCTGTTTAACTCAAGTTACACACTTGCGTGGCGTGCAAATTTTAGACGTTTTGTAAACGTTTAAATTCTGCACACTTAGACACACACAGTTCTATGCTGTCAATAGGGAACCGTACGGTGTGCAGCTGCTATACGTTTCGGAAGTGTCGAAAGTTTAAACACCAATTGACGTATAACATAGTTAGACACCACAA